GCTACAAGAACGTCGTCTACTTTATGGAGTGGGGTATCTACGGCCGCAACTTCCACCTCTACGACCTTGACTGGTCGCGCATCACGCACATCAACTACGCCTTTGGCAAGCCCGCGACCGATGGTACGGTTGGCATCTACGACTCGTGGGCCGCCACCGACAAGCGGTACCCGACCGACTCGTGGAGCGACACGGGCAACAACGTGTACGGGTCGTTCGGCCAAGGCTTCAAGCTCAAGAAGCAGTTCCCGAACACCAAGTTTGGTCTCTCGATCGGCGGCTGGACGTTGAGCGACCAGTTTAGCGGCATCGCGAGCACCGAGGCCGGTCGGTCGACGTTCGCCAAGAGCTCGGTCAAGATGATGCTGGACCTCGGCCTCGACTTTATCGACATTGACTGGGAGTACCCTGTCGAGGGCGGGAACGACTCGCCGCCCGTGCCGCACCGTCCGGATGACATGCAAAACTTTGTGGCGCTGCTGACGGCGATCCGGACCGAGCTCGCCAAGCTGCCGTTCAAGGCCGAGCTGAGCGTCGCGTCGCCGGCCGGTCCGGCCAACTACCGCCACTGGGACTTCAAGGCGGTCTGCGAGCAGCTCGACTTTATCAACATCATGACGTACGACCTGGCGGGCAGCTGGAGCACGTACACGGACCACCAAGCCAACTTGTTTGAGGACCCCAACCACCCGCCGGGCGCCAAGTACTCGGCCCACGGCGCGATCCAGGACTACATCAAGGGCGGGTGCCCGAGCAACAAGATCGTCATGGGCATTCCGGCCTACGGTCGGTCGTTCGAAGGCTCGTCGGGTCTCTACGGCAACTTTACACCGCCGACGGCCGGCTCGTGGGTCTCGGGGAATGACGGCAAGGGGGTGTGGGACTACAAGGCACTGCCGCAGCCCGGCGCGACCGAGTTCTACGACGAAAAGCTCGGCGCCGCGTACAGCTACGACGCCAACCGCAAGGTCTTTACGTCGTACGAGTCGCCGACGAGCCTCGCGGCCAAGCTCGACTACATCAAAAAGTACAACCTCGGCGGCACCATGTTTTGGTCGGGCGACGCCGACGCCAAGGCTGGCACGCCGCGGTCGCTCATCACGCAAGTGTACAACACGCTCGGGAAGGACAACATGGCGTTCTCGCCCAACAACATCAAGTACCCGACGTCCAAGTACGACAACATTCGCAACGGATCGACACCGGCGCCGACGAGCGCGAGTCCCGTGACGACCAACCCGACGCCGGTGACAACCAACCCGACGCCGGTGACAACCAACCCGACGCCCGTGACGACGGCTCCGGCACCCACGACGGCGTCGCCGAGCGACAAGTGCGAAGGCAACCGCAACGTGTGCTTCTGGCCGCTCACGCACCAAGTGGTCAACTACGGCAAGGAGGACTGCGTCAAGTTCTCGTCGTTTGTATGGTGCCCGTAAGCGCGTCAGGTGCCGAGCTTGCATGTACAGTCAGTCGTCGTCTGCTGTCGAATAATGCGTTTGAATCCATCACTATGAGTTGTGACGTGTATTTCTTTTTTGTGGAAAATTTGGTGAACTACATAAAGGGAAGGGACGTCTGGGATTTGACTCGGGCGTCAAAGGAAAAGTCGTGTGGCGGTAGACGGAAACAGTAAAGGATAGGTGAATAGATAGACCCCACGGGGGATTAATTGTCTGTTTGTCCCGTCCCCCTGTACATATGAACCCTTGGTGGCACAGTGGTTGCACAGCGGTGACATCTGTTTGGTCGTTTCTGTCCTTTGACATTGCCGCTGGTCGAGTTTGCGCCAACGCCCAACTTTGGCGACGACGAAGCGATGGCGCTCATCGAGTCGTTGCCATCGATCCACCATGGTGAGCACGGCGACAACAATGACAAGTAAAAGACGACCCACCACGGCGGCGCGCAGAGTTCGCAGCTCAACGACCAAACGACGGACGAAAAGCCGCCGACACATAACTTATTTGAGCGCACGTCGACAAGCAGAGCGGGCATGGTCGGGGGGCACCATGTGCTTGTCGTGGATGATCTTGAGTTTGAGACCCAACGAAGTGTTTGTATTCAAATACCCGACAAATGTACTGCGCTACAAGTACACTGCAAGAACATGGACATCAAGGTACATCTCTCGCTGAGCTGCTGCATGTCTTTCCATGAAGATGACTTTGAGTTTGAGCACTTGGGCCAAGGCTGCAACCCCAACTGCCGCATCGACGAGTACAGCGCCCATGCGTCATAGATATCAACTTGATAGTTCTATGGACAACACAACATGGCGCTTGTATATCTATATGTACACGAAGCACGAGAAGGTTGAGACGATGCGGCAGCATCGACTTGACAGCCCTGCTGGTACCGACACGTGAGGATAGTAGTTGCGCCTGAACAAAGCGAAATGGATGTTATTTTGATGACAGCAAAATGGAGCGGTGGCATGAGCGCAGAGTCGGGACCAAGACGAGACGAGGTCACTCGGTATCATGGATCGAAGCAGCGTCCAAGATCGGTTGCAAAGTGAAAGACACCTCGGCGGGAAAGCGCCCGGGAAGGGCCGTGTTGTTCGGCAGCGCCAAGAGCCGACGACCATCCAGCACGATGCGCGTAGCGGCCGTGATCGGAGTCGGAGGCACGAGGTCTGGGGCAGGCCCCTCCAGCTCGTCGTTGGTGATTGCGAAAAGCTTGTACTCGCGGACGCTCATGTCCGGCGAGACGATGACGCAGAGCACGTAGCGAATGCCCGGAAAGGCGCAGTATCGCGCGACCTTGACATCCATGCTTCGCCAGCCTTGGGAGACGCCGACCTCCACCTTGAACGTATGGAATTCGTTCCAGCGGAGGTGGGCCGGCTTGATGGCGCCGATGTGGCTTGCTGGACCACAGCAGCAGTCGGGCTCGAGCTTGGGCAGTCCGCCGATCGCACGCCGGCTGGACTTGTTGATGTGGGTTTCATGGTACAGGCGGAGGACTCGAGCGTTTGTCCCCGTGGCCTCCGGGCTCGTCGCCACCAGCATCGCCTCGCTGATGCCAGCGACAATGTCGCCGTGAAGACCACCGCCCATTTCGATGAGATATATCGCATTGTTTCGATACTCCAAAAAGCGCGGGTTCACCCGTTGGTCCGCGGACTCGACGTAGCTGTCCCAGTCGGCCTCAGTCGCCGAGCAGACCTCAAAGCCGTCGTTGCCGATGACGTCGAGGGCAGCCTGCGCGGCTGGCCAGTCCAGAGTTTCGATTGCTTGGTTGATGCGCTTCACAGGGTCGGCGCCCGTCGTTGCCTTCGTCGAGCACGCTCCGGCGACCATATTGGCAACTGCCCAACTTTGGTCTCAAAATCCGGATAGCGAATGATCTTTCTGTGTGCCATCTCATTGGCTGTTTTTATCCGGATTTTGTGGTCAAAAAGGTGGTATCCGATTGGCCAAAATGGAATCCATGGATAGGCTGACGGGGTTTGGATTGGCGGCAATATATTTGGGTGCATCCAGACAAAAGCAGCTTCGGGACATCGCTTGTTGAGCAAATCACTCAAACGCAAGCGTCGCCGGACCTCTATATGGTCAGTACCCTCTGGTTTGACCAGTCGCCATGAGCTGTCGCCATGCGCAAGAACCTCGCGTGGTCCGACAAGGTATTCCTCTGACCGCGATGGCAACGCCAACAACGGAATGCTCCAACACTTGTTCAGCTCTCACAAGGCGTATGCAGCAGCTATGAGGGCCAACGCGTCCCAACGCACAAAGATCAGAGTACACCAACAGCTCGAGAGTCGAGGTGCGACGGTAGGTAAACTCAATCACCACCAGACTCGAGCGATGAGGACAAGTCCAAGTGATAGACATGGTAGGAAGCGTGCTAGTCGAGACCTATTGTTGTTCGTCGGTGCGCAGACAATCATGGCATTACACATGACAAGATGTAATCGACTAGACTCGACCAACAGCCTCCACGCCCAAACTGAAGCATGACGACGACAAGTGGAACACACACACACGATGGCATTCGTTGCATGAGCTTTCATTTCCTAGTAGTAGCTCGCGACGGCTTCTGTTACCAGAGGCCAAAGCGGCCACGCCACAGCCACGCCCAAGAGCGTATTGAGTCCATTTACCGGTTGGCCTTGGCGACGCGCTCGACTTCGTCCTTCTTCTTGATCGCGTACGAGTTGGACGAGCCCTTGGCGGCGTTGATCAACTCATCGGCCAAGCATTCGGCGATGGTCTTGACGTTGCGGAACGAGGCTTCGCGGGCGCCCGTGGTCAACAAGTAGAGGGCCTGGTTGACGCGGCGGAAGGGCGAAACATCGACACCCTGGCGACGGACGACACCGGCCGAACCGACGCGCGTCGAGTCTTCACGGGGACCGGCGTTGATGACAGCGTCGACGACGACCTGCAACGGGTTCTGGTCCGTGAGGAGGTGGATGATCTCCAGAGTGTGGCGGATGATGCGGTTCGCCATGAGCTTCTTGCCGCTGTTGCGACCGTGGCGCATGAGCGAGTTGGCCTATACGTCGAGTCCGTCAATTTCGCACGGCTAGGAACCCAAATCGCATACCAAGCGCTCGACGATCGGGCACTGGGCCTTGCGGAAGCGCTTCTTCTGGTAGCGCTGCGCAGTGTGCGGCAGGAACGTGGCGGCCTTGCCCGACACGGCAACGTAGTCGATCAGAGCGACGTCGTTGACCTTGATGTCATCGTAGGTCCTGCACAACTCATGAGCCACTGCTCGGATTCGCATGGCGACTGCGGTGGCCCATCGGCCGCGATCGCGACCGACGGCCATGCACCTCGCCAGGATCAACCATGCACACGTACCACTTGTTAAAGAGCTTGACTTCGGCAGCGGTCTCGGCCATTTTTTTACTTTGGGAAATGAAAAAGTAACTCTGCCCCTAGGCCAAATGAGTGGTGTCAAGCTATAGGAACCAATTATCCCGGGGGATACCGTATCCGGACGCATCCGGAAAATCGGCTGGTTGGTTGGTGCGGATGGATGTGCTTCTAACAAGACTTTGAGCCTCGTTAACAGAACATATACAATTTCCAAGTGCAACGACGCGAACCAGAGACAATAAAATAAACTTGCCACCCGACGAATAATAATACGACCGCCACGCTGCCGACGCCGGCGCCATGGCCGACCGACCGCCACCCTCGTGCGGCCGACGCCAATGTGTACCTACCCGAGCGATGAACCATGTGTAGCCGCATGCATGCCCGCAGCGTGGACGCGGCCACAGGTCCAGCCGACGGCGAGCCTCCTTCCGCGCTGTGGACCCTGAATCATCCTGAGCCCAGCGTTCGTTGCCATGGCGCCGCCGTAGCCGACGCGATCGATGTGAGTTGCGAGTGTTGCCGCGTCGATGTGGTTGAATATGCAGCGTTATTGGGCGGTATGGCGCGGCGCGAGGTGGTGGCGTCCGTGCAGCGACGGCCAGCGCATGCAGGGAGGCACGCCAGCCCGAACTGCGATCGATGGCAACCAGCGTAGACGCAGACAAGCATACCGGTGAAAGGCGACGCCTGGCCACAGCGCGCCTCTTGTGATGACGCTGTATGATGGCGTGCATGTCATGGTCCATCTCCGAAACGATTTTGCTTGTGCAGTCGAGATTGTTGTGGCAATATTCGGACGGTCGAAATGACTCTGGTCGTGGACATTGGACACATCTGAGTGGCACGACACGCTCAAACTAAGATCGTAGTGCCATCGTGGACGGACCACCACCACGCCAGCACGCCGGCGCCGCTTGTCGACAACATCACGTTTGAAATGGATTCACCCTAGTTGGCATACAGTGACAAAATGCAGTTTGGAGAGCAGAGCAGCCCACGCTACGTTACCGCTGCAGTCATCCAAGACGCGCAAAGCTCGACACTGTTCTGGGCATGAATGGCATACACAAATAAGCCATGCACCATGGACTGCAACATGCACGACCGCACATGCGTAGGCTCACGAACCCCTTCTTACACGTGACACTTGGTTGTAGTTGTTGCGCGAGTCCTGGAACGGACGCTGCAGCCGCCTTGCTGAGAGAATGGCTGCGGCCTACAGTCTTCATGGCGCCGCAGCCGACCAGTGCTTATAGGCTCTGCCTCCGTGTACCACATGCGTGTGAGAGCAGCGTCCGACCGCAGAGACGCGTGAAAGCCATCTACTATGTCACACTAGACCGGCAACGATAAGCTAAATAAGATGCCATTTGGGTTAGTGGAGATGGCGAACTAAATCGTGAGCGAGTACTCGTCACACTGGAGCACGGGAAGGTCCGAGAGGGACTCGGAGGTGAGTAGCACAATGGGCAGCGGCAACGTGCTGGGCGAAAATTGAAACTGCATAGTGTTGGTCGTCCAGTCCTCGGACTCAGACGACGATCGCTCATCTTCGAGGACGGGACAGAGCGACCGCGACGTCATGGTCGTAAGCAAGAACGTTCGCCGCGGCTGGTCGTAATGGCTCGGGCGCGGCAGCGGAATAAACTTGTTCGAGTCCAGGAGAAGGTTGGTGCGTCGCTTGCGCTGGACATAAATATTGAGCAGCGCGACGCAGAGCACGACGAGGAGGCCCACAATGATGCCCACGAGCGCGTACGTCTCCGAGCCGGCGTTGAACCCGCTGCTGCTGTGCTCGGCGCCTTGTGCATACGTCTTGCTGCCACTCGTGTCCCTTGTCGACGGCGCCATGATGGCCACGGCGCGCGTCGCATTGGCGGTCGCATTCGAAGTCGCCGACTCGACAGGCGTACCGAGGACTGCAACCGTGCACAATGTGGTCTGCCTCGGGCAGTGCCCGTCCTGCTGCCGCGCTGCGCACCCGCCGGCACCGTCGAGGCACGGCGTAGCCGGCGTCCAGCAGCGCCGCTCTTCGCAGCTGCCGCCATGGGCTACCGCGACGATCGCAGCGGCCATGGATGTGGCCAGCCGCAAGCGCATGCTCCGGTCAGAGACGAAATGCGCACTTCAAGTGCATGGACGAGCGGGCCCGCGCAGGTTACTGCGTCGCCCGACACAGTTCCAAACGCGTTCTATGGACACGGCTGTTTCCGCCTTGTGGCCGCCAAGTGCGCGAACCTGATGTGCGTTGAAGGAAATGCGGCGCGTTCATTGGCTACATCGTGCGGCCTCGGCGACTGCATACGGTAGGTGCGGAAGTAGAGAGCCTTGACACGTGCAAGCATCTGGCTGTCCAGACAAAAGATATCAAACTAGTGCAAAGACTCGCGACGCGAGTACGTACTACGAACGACAAATGACGAAGCGCCTTGAAGTGCCGTAGAAACTTGTGCCGTTTCGACACGAACTTGACGTGCGCGAGCTTGAAGTCGTCCATATGGCGGTGCCGACGTGGCAGGACCACAAGGCGTGTCATTGGGTCAAGATTTGCATGCAGAAATGTCATTTCGCCATTTGGATGAGCGCGCTCATACACGGTGCTCGTTCACCCATGCGTCCGTGCTAGACAGGCCATTAAGTAGCGTGCCAGTAAAGTTATCATGTCTTTTCACCGCCGACTCATTTTTGCGTCCGGCGAGATGCTGCAAGGGAAGAGTGGCGACTGCCAATCACAGCAAATTCGAAGCCTGCCCACGCACCTTCATCATGTGACGGCCGCTTCGGCAGCATTGCTTACAAATTCCGGCATCTCCACTCTAGTCACTGCGCTGCCTCCACCGCTTAATGTTCTTGCATACTGAAAGACCTGAGAGGTTCACAGAGCGCCACCAGCTGCCTACCCCTCATCAGATCGTGCTAGAAACGTTTCTACCTCTACTACCGCTGCCAAGTTGAAGCAGTCGACGGCTTCAGCAACCGACACCGCATCAACTAGGACGTACTTGCGTCTCTTGCACGACGGAATTCCGCGACGTAGAGGTGGTGGACGAGGTGGCGGCCGAGTAGCCAACGCATCAAGTACGGTAGGTTGTCTTTGCAACCAAACGATTTCATCCAGCGTACAATGAGGCGCCGTAAGGCATTTATTCTTGGAGTCTCGCAAACGATTCATAATCTGTTTTAACAGAATCTTCGCACACGTGGAAAGCTTCCGGGAACGTGGCAGGACCTCGTGGCAGCAGGGATGAAGCCGATGCAATTGGCTATAATGTAAAAGTATCGACTTGTTCATTGGCTGATTCTCGATGATGGAAATCACCCAATCCATTCGTTGTATAGCCTCCCACCTAGCATCTCAGGATGACGATCTCGCAGGCATGACCCTCAGCCAATACTGGTACGAGACGAAGATGACTTGCACACATAAGCACATTCGACAGCGTCGTGAGCTACCAGCCTGACATCTGTGCTAACAACCGCACGGTATGAAATGCCCTTGGCGCAACGCCATTGCCATTCTAGGAGCTCATACTGGGTCACGTTTCTGTGGTCGAGTGGCGGCGTGCATAGTATGTATTCTTCTCTACGCATTGACAACTCTGCCGCCATCGTCGTGGCGCGATCGAATCTGGCACCTTCCACATGTCCTACGAAGGCACGCTTGATGGTCGTGGCCCTCCTGCGCCGCGACGCCCACAACAATCAATCTGACTCCGCCGACAGTCAGTGTTCATACTAGACGTACTCTCCCTTGTGTCTTTTAGGCCGTGGTCCATTCGATGCACTTGCTCGTTGCAGCCACAGAATGTACATTGTTGTTGTTGTTGAAGAGGGTCGTCTATTAAAATAGATACGTAAATCTACGCTGAATAAAATTGTCGGACTTTCTTCGTTGTGTAGGCGCTGGTGTTGATCTTGATCTAGGCCGGCGGAGGCAGGAACGCGATCCGCGGGACAAGGTGCTGGCGCGGCAAGAATGTACAATTTGTTTAGTCGATTGATCCCCTGTCAAGTGGTGCTCGGCCACGTGATGCCATAATTGCTACTAACTTTGTAGTAGTAGCGATGCACGGGTTGTGCGCGACAACGACGATTGCCTATATGCAGGTGTTTTGCACTGTCTTCGTTGTTGAAAAGACTTTGCATAGCGACTAGCAATCTTCTTCTACATTCGCTCACCGGGCGGTGGCCGCGCCTCTTGCTCTTCTGTCGTCGCCCAAGGGCATTTGCGGCCGCGTGTGAGACCCACGCCGACAAGCTCTGTCAATTCCTTCCAGGCGTCGCGATCGGCGGCAAAACTATGCAGGGTGCAAGGTCCTCGAGAGACTGCGACTGGAGTCGCGGTGCCGGCCGATCGACAAGACAATGACGACAAGGCTAAAATAATTTAAGAAATGAACTAAACAACTACGCTTGACTCGGACGGGGTAGTACTAAACGACAAGGCGTCGACGTGCGTGCCATTCGACGTCCAAAAGCTGGCGTCAATCGTCACAACAAGGTCGTGCGCGATCGAGCGAATGCCAAAGCGCTTGTCCAAGCTGTTGGCGAGCGTGCAATTCTCAAATGGCATTGCGTCGCCGTGCTTGCGCGCCATGGCCGCGCCCATCGTCGACGCATTGAGGTAGACGTAGACCGTCGGATTACGAAAAATGGGCCGCGCCTGCACGTACAGCAGTACAAAGCAGCGCTGTTTGGGGATGCGGAGGGCCATGGAGCGAATGGTGTCGCGCTCGCGGAGCCGGACGTGCTGCTGCTGCAAAAGCGGGCTCGGGTCGCAAAAATCATAGGTGTCGGCGGACGCGTCGGCGTGGGCCATGCTCAGCGCAAAGCAGGACGATGCTGGCGACGACTCGAGCACGATCGTGTCGGGCGTAAACTGGGCGGCGTACAAGCCAATGATCGAGCCAAAGATGAGGACGGTGAAGCCGACTTGGACCAGGAAGATCCGGCACCAGGACGGCGCCATGAGTGCACTTTGAAAACTGACGACGATGCACCTATCGCCTGGATGAGGGTGCAAGTCGAGATCCAGCTGCCAGCTTGTCTGATCGCCCCAGCTGCCAATCGAGTGATACACTCAACATGTAAATATACAGGGTATGCGTAGAAGGAGGTTTTATACTACACAAAATCGTTTAATGAGATTTCTCCGAATATCAGATATGACAGGCATACAAATAGAAGAGATTTTGAAGGTTGACTCAGCCCTCTACCGTCGACGTCACTGGATCAGAGCCGCTTACCCCGGCGTCGTCCAGGGTTCCACGTCGCCCGTTCTAGCCTCGGCAGGGCTACTGGCAGGCGGTTCACTGTACGAAGAAAGTTTGTGTGCCAACGTACTGGTACTGTGCAACGAGGACCACCTGAGAATGCCATCGACAGAGCAAGTGAGCTGGACAACTGAACGCTTTTCGCACCCAATTGAAATCGGAATCTTGATTTGACTATGCCCACGTCACCGCTCCTTGAGGAAGCGAACGCGATCCTACCACCCTCGCACAGTACGTTGCTGGTCATCTTTAGAGCTTGCCACCAATCCGCATTCTTGTATAGATGACGTGGAGACACCAGCGACCAAGCGCCACAAGAATTTGGACGACACTACGAAGCATGGAGCCAACACCTCGAACGGTCGAGTCACGTCTGCATAGATACCAGTTGAGGATACACAAATTCGTTAGCGGTTTATGTTCTACCGCTGGCACAGCACTATCGACTTGGCGTCGCGAGTGGCGTCGGGAGGATCGTGAGGCCGTTCATGGATCCATTGTTAAGGTACATGCGATCGATCAAGATGGTCATGTTGGCTTCAAATGCAATGCCCGCCCCGGCCGTGGCCGTAATGTTGCATTTCGTCCAAGTACTTGGCGCAAGGACGTCACGAACCTTGGCGCTATCGAGGTGGAAGGCGCGCGTCGGGCCAAACACTTTGGAGAGAAGCGTGAGCGAGCCAAAGCACACATTGGAGGGAAGGTCGAGGCGCAGCCAGAGAAGGTTGGCTTTCTTCTTGGCGAGCAGCGTGAACGGGTGCTGAACATACGACGACGACGGGGCGCAGAAACGAACTTGCTGCAGGTCGCTGGACGATGCAATCACCAGCGCAAAGCAGGACGCGGTACTTGCTGTCGTTTGCAAAAGGATTTGGTCGGGCTCGGTCATGGCGTCCGCCACAAGGACGCTCAGCACGATCACAAGCACCATGGCGAGGAAGCAGCCGCCCTCGCGTTCGTCATGACGCATATTGCACGATAAACGTAGCGACGGGTGAAGAGCACGGCGCGAGGTAGTATCCCACACCCCAAGGATGTGCCAAGCACGAGTCGATCCCACGGACCACGCTAGCGCATCCTGAAGCCGCGACCACATCCTTTGGCACCGCTTGATGTGGCATCGTGTGTCCTACGCTGCTCTCGCGGACGTCAGGTGATAAGGAGGGCAACAAGCCTGACAAGAGTCTCGTCGGCCATGTCCCATAGTACAATTTTATACCTGGCGGTACCAGTGCCTGAACCGCTAGACGGAAGTAAGTCGACAAGAACCACACCTTCTTGACTGCATGTAGACACAACGACGGCCAGTCTGCATGCGGTCACGGCCCCCTTGGATGAAGTCTTGCCAACAACACTCTCGGGCTACCTCTACTCCAAAGGCGGCCTCCAACATGCACCGAGCTACCTCTGGCCCGTGCTCCGCGCCTGCGTCTGGTTCAACGTCCGCAACGATCTCGCGCCGACCTGCCAAGTCCATGGACGATTGCCGTCAAGGCGGCGCGTGTCGCTCAAATGCACTTGCACCACAGTTTCGTTCAAAATCCCGGGCAGATGGCTCTACGTCGCCTTCTCCGGCTCCTCGCTCAACACGCCAGCACCTTGTCCCGCGGATCGCGCTCCTGCCTCCGCCGGCCTAGATCAAGATCAACACCAGCGCCTACACTACGAAGAAAGTCCGACAATTTCATTTAGCGCAGATTTACGTATCGATTTTAATAGACGACGCACTGCAACAACTTGAAAGACGCGACGACCAGTTTGACTCTGACTGACGTTCTTGGCTGCGCCGCCGCTCCCCGAGTGTTTGACCCGTCCGAGC